GTTTTCATTTTTTTGTTTAAAACTGCGTTTTATAGACTATCAGTAGATCATATACATGAGATGTATTCATGGTATTTCGTTTAAAGTGACATGGGAACTGGTAGTTGTATTTTAACACTATGATATGAATAGACCTTACGTTTGCGTTGAATCTCATATAGACTTGCTTACCCAAAAGGTATTTTCATCCACGCTCAAGTAGACTGTAATTTCGACCTCGACTAGACTGGTCTCATAAGCACCCCCAGCGGGACTCGGACCATGACAGTGCAGTGTGTGATCCCAACACGTTACTCACTACGCCACAGTTCCCCGAGTGTCCTTGGGTCACAGGGTAGATGTGGATTTCACGGAAGGCCAGGCATTTTCCAATATCATTCCCTTTCTATGGTAGGATTGTCGATGAAGCAAAGTTGTATTTGCTATAGGAATCGACAGTATTACTTATTTTTGTTTATAAGTAGGTTTTTGGGACTATCAGTAGAACATATATATGAAATTCTACTACAAGTCCTCTTTTCACTTTTAAATAAATATGATAAATAAAAGTGTGTTGACCTCGTTGTTGCAACTTGGTCTTGTTGTCAAAGTGACTTAGTAGAACGCACCTAGTCCGAAATCGTCTGCCGTTATAGTTGTCATGCTTCCCAGCATCTGACAGTGGACTTGGTCGAAGGATTGACTTCACTTGTCTCTTTGACGAGTTTATAGCTTGGTGTGGAGAATGGCAAAACTCACTGATGATGCCGACTATGATGCCGGCGAAACGTTTAAGAATGTACCAAGTCCACTGTCTGATGCTGGGAATCATGACAACTACTATGGCAGGCGACTTCGGACTAGGTGCGTTCTACTAAGTCGCCCTGACAACAAGACCAAGTTGCGACAACGAGATCAACCCACTTCTATAAATCGAAAGAAGACTGCCACCATACCAGAGGCCACAACATCTCGGTCTTCATATCTTCGATGTTGAATAGATCTTATGTGTTTTCACTTTTGTAAAATGAAAAAGAACTTAATTCTATGGTATTTTTTGCCTTGATCTATTTGACGTCGACTCATCGTCGGTCTGGCATATTGATTCGCCAAATTAGCCTGTTTCATGGGCAGAATATATGTCTATAACTTTTTGTATCATTTTTAATTCACTGAATTTTCATTCTCTTTTCTTTCACTCGATTCGCCCTCGACTGTTGTCACACTCTCATCCTTCGCTGAAGGCATGTCGATTTGGGCGTGTCCAGCATTTGGAGCACTTGATCTCCTATGGAGCAGATATCAACAGCCAGACGACGAAGAATGGTAACACTCCTCTCCACATCTGCTCGTATGCCGGCCAAGAGGCATGCACTCGTCTGCTACTTTTCCGCGGCGCCAACCGGCGCCTTGTTAACCGCGCCGGACACACAGCATATCAACAGGCTGTGCTTTCGCAACATCACGATCTAGCCAATGTCATTCAAGAATTCAAGGAAGAAGACATCGGTGAATTGTCTTTTAAAGTGTATCCAGGCCCAATTTGCAACTGTCCCCCCCCCAATTACACTAGCTTTGACTCATAATAGCCTTTTGAATCCAGCCTACTTTCTAAGTCCAACTACGAGCTGGAGCCTTTGTAGATATTTTATGAGCCACCAGCTCCCTTTTTCTAGGACACCGGAGCAAACAAAGATGAAATTGAAGAGACTTTTGATACGGAGAAAAATTAATCAAGAGGCTGTTATTTATATAATTGTATGACTGATTAGTTTGAGATTACAGGTTCTTTCACACTCCCTCATGAGTATATAGCTTATCTGTTCGAAATATTTACCTCAGAGTGTCACCTTTTGGTAGGGGCAATTTCTCTTGCAATCCACGGCTTCAGAGGCATGTATTTACATAAAAACAACACTTAGTTACTATATTCATATACTGAATAAGTAGACGTATTCTGTAAAGCATTTAGTCACCATAGGTCGCTTAATGGAAGGAAGTATTGTTAGTTCATTTTCCTAGAATAGGATGAGTTGACCTCACGATGTCATCGAATCCGGATAGGGCAGTGTATAATTTCCACATGTTACGTCTACACCACACTACCATGAGTGCCAGTCGGTCACAGTACAGAAACGAATTTAAAGGCAATCTAGGCCTTCCAATCCCATTTTAAAGTGAAGAATTTAGTTCCTGGTTCATGA